GAACCCTCCCTCCTAGCCTGCACCCCCACCCCAGGCCCAACCCTCTTCCCACCCCCTAACTCCCTCTCAGACCTCATGCCTCTATGCCCCTGCTTCCAGACCCCTTAGCCCCAATCTGGAGCCCCCTGACACACCCTGAACCCCTCATTTCTGGCCCCACGCTGCAGCTTAAGGGAAGCCCTGAGCCTCCACACTCCCCTACGGGGCTATGTGTGGCCCACAAGTGATTTTTGTTGGGTGTCAGTGGTCCCTCCCAATAGAAAAAAAGTTGCCCACCCCTGCACCAGAAGGACCAACCTAGAGACAGTGCTGTATTCTCTGGGCGGCGGGGGGGGGGGGGGGGGGGGGGGGCGAAGAAGAAGCATTTCTTCAAAACACCCGTCCTGAGCGGCCTCAACCCACCACCGGCACGTCTAGTTTCGAGTATTTTAGCCAGAGCCGGCTTAAAGGCTGCTCACTCTAGAGCGCTTGAGGTAAACCCTTTGACTCAGGCACTCCCCTTGCTCAGAGCCTGACCAGAAGCCATCGCAAGGCAGTTCCCATCCTGGCCCGTCAGGCTAGGATATGCCGGGGTAGCAACAAGTGGCAAATAAAGCTGGCTGGGAGGTAGGATGGCTGCCTGTTTCCAGGAGACCTTGCACTGCGAGGAAGAGGTCCCTTCCCAGAACACCTCCTGGTCACCAAGCCTTCGCCGCGCTCACAGTACCCTGTGCACTTCGAGTGACGCAAGAGAAAGGGCTTTACCGAAACGGGTCTTCTCAGCGATTTGCTTCTCTAGCGGAAGTTCAGTCGCTCTTCAGACGGCAACACCTGTAAGTGGAAACAGAGGGAGAAGCCATTTATCAGACGGACACGTGACATTTTAGTCGATGTTATTGAATTATTAGGGTCATGGGACAGACATGACATGGCCATAGAGACGTGTCAAAAGATCCTTCAGGGACTCAGGTGAGCAAGACCGAAAAAAAAAAGTCAGAAAGGGTGGGGTTATTCTAAGATGCGGCGGGGCAGATAGCTACCCCAAGTCCGTGTGTGTGTGTGGCGGGGGGGAAGCTCTATGCTAATGGAGGGGGCGGGGCCTCAGGCAGAAGGGGGCAGCCAGCCATCAGTGCCGCACGCCCCCCCATCCCTAGCCCTCAGAGGAGTGGTTCAGAGGGGTCTGAGTCTCTAGCTGCCACAGTAGCTGCAGCTTTTGGGAACCTCAGACCCCTTTGACTCTCTGGACTCTGGGGCAACTGCTCCCTTTTGCCCCCCATGTCGGCAGGCCTGGAGGAGGCTGTATTTTCAGTCTAGTCACTTTTCCGAACCGCAGCAGAGGTGTGTCCGGGAGGGCTGAGTTCCAGGATTTCTGACAGAAATGGCTTCTACTCATTTCCTTCCTCACATAAACATGCCCCGTCTAGTCATGAACAGCAGGGGATGATTGACAGGTGTACGGACCAAACCAACAGGGATTCCAATTCACTAGTCCAGCAGGAGAGTTGCACTACATGTACAAGAGCTGTGAATTCACTTGGCTGATTGAGAAATGTGGCAAGAGGAAACACCCCATTTTAAAATGAAGGGGATCTGCCGTTACATTCCAGTCAATTTATACTGAAAGCATGAGAGTGGTAGAGTATAAACACTTCCCAGCTGATGGTTAATCAAGCCTACAGACCTCAATGATCATAATACAACCACTCCACACTCCAGCTATTACAACTGTCACAGCATGTGACAAACACCCCACGCTGTATACCATTTTGTGTGTATTGAGAGATGTGCACACATGGTACACAGACACATTCATAGATATGTGCGCACACAGACACGTGTCTAAGGACATTGTAAGAAGCAAATTAGAGCTCAGATCGAATATAAGGCGTATGAAGTGTTGTCTAGAGAGGCTTAAAGTCATTACAATAGCAGGTGGAAGCATCCCTCACTGAATGACAGAGTACATCACGTTTTATTCGATTTCTAGCTGAAACACTGTCGGTTGTAGAAACGCTTCGGAAGCAAGCCCTTTAGGGAGTACATCACCTGCAGTTTCACTAGTCGCTGCTCCCTGGTTATAGTTTCGCTCCTAAATCAACAGAGGCGGTAAGATCAGAGTGACTGGAAAGAGTTCTCTGCATTACAGAGTCTGCCCACCATACTGAAATTTACACTGGCTAATCTGTAAACACTGACAAACGCTGCTGCTTTGTGGTTAGCAGTGAATGGCTGTGACAGAGAAACACACACACACACACACACACACACGAGCTGGGAGGAAACGAGATAGCTTTCCTGTGAAGCTCTTTGGGCGGTTCACAGTGTACTGGGTAAGTGCATCTCAGCTTTAGACTTGCCTCTGCTTACACACCCTGCGTTAGACCCGAGAAGAAAATGTTTGGCCAAGAAAGAGAAGTGGCTGCTAAAACGAAGTGGTTACGGTGCATTTCAAAGTGCCATTCCGCACAGCGTGATGAACTGTTCCATGCAGGCTTCAAGCCAACAAACACTTGGGGTTAATTTGCCCGGTTTCATTGTGAGCAGCTGCTAACAGTGAAGCCTGCATGATAGTGGTGGGCGGAGTGAGCCGTCTATCCCTAGGGTTGCCAGGTGTCAGGTTTTCGCCTGGACAGTCGGTTAAAAAAAAAACCAGACATGGAATAGGGACAGAAGGCTGGTGGGGGGAGCAAGGGGATTCTTAAAGGCACAGCGACCTTTTTTTCGGCTCAACAACTTTTGTCTCCTGTTTTGTTTCCCCCGCCCCCTTCCCTTCCTCAACCAAGTTTGGTCTCCTGATTTTTTTCCCCTTGCCATATTTGGGATTTTTGGTGAAAGCATCTGGCAAGTCTCTCTATCCCACAGGGCAGACTAGGCCTTTTGTCCGGCAGTTGCAGGTAGAGGCCTCAGCCAAGCCCAGGTTCTCACAGTTACAGGTCCTGTCCAAGCACACAGAGTAGGGTGGCCAACTTCCTAACCCCCTCTCCTGTGCTTTCTCGTCCCATGAGGCCCCACGGCTGCTCACTCCGCTGCCCCTTCACTCACTGCTTCTCCCACTCAACTCCAGTGAGAGCAGATCAGAAGAGCCTGGCAGCCTCCCCCCACAATGCTCCAGCTCTCCCCATCACAGAGCTGCCTGTGGAGTTGCCAACATTCTAATTCCGAAAACGGAACACCCTTTCCCCGCCCACTATTGAGGCTCCGCCTCTATTCACTCCGCCCCCCCGCCCCCCATCACAGGCTCTCCCCCTGCGTTGCTCACTTACACTGAAAAGCCCAAACATGCCGATCTCTTGTATTATCCTAAGCTTAGGTTTGATTGGTTACAGGGCAGTAGAGCTGGCAGTAAAATAATCAAAAAGGGTCATAAAAACAAAACAAAACCAAAACACATTTTACAAAGGTTTTCAGGATTATTCCCCTCCCCCTGCCCATTTTTTGCAGCAGTTCCATGGCTATGTCTACACTGCAGGCTTCTTGTGCAAGAACTCTTGCGCAAAAGGGTGTTCACACTGCCATGTGCTTTTGCACAAGAGATGTGCTTTTGTGCAAGAGCGTCCATGGCAGTGTGGATGCTCTCTTGCACAAGAAAGCTCCGATGACCATTTTAGCCATAGGGGTTCCTTGCATAAGAAACCCCTGTTCTCGTCCACACTGCCCTTTTTGCACAAGAGCTCTTGCACAAAAAGGCTTATTCCTCATGGGGAGAGGAATAACTCTTGCACAAAAAGCCCTTTCTTCTGACGATCTACTGTAAACTTTCTTGCACAAGAATGGGCTTGTAGTGTGGACAAGAGTAAAAACAAAAGAGTCTGCAAAAAAAGTTCATAATATAGCTAGGCACAGGTGGGGAGAAACATATGATAAATTGGCTCTTCTGCAAACCAGTTGACAACAGCCAGTTAACTCTAACAACATTCACTTTAAGAAATAACATTTCTTTTAGAGCTCCCTTTTCAACACTCATTGTGAAACAGACACACACACATTTTAGGTCCTCTGTTTCTTGTGCACAAGCCTGAAGAAAGCGTAAGAGCCAAAGATTCAGGCTACAAACTTCATTGACACAGATAAATACACAAGCATCAATACACACACCTCCTGCACCATCCCCCCTCCCTGACCCAGCCGTTGAAGGCCTGCTTCATGGCACCTAGTCTT